CCCAGTGTTACTACACAGTGCCAAACCCAGTTTTACTACAGTACCAACACCAAGTGTTACTGAACAGTGCCAACACCCAGTGTTACTACACAGTGCCAGTAAAACCTGAAGTTTTACTATACAGTGCCAACACTCCAGTGTTACTACACAGTGCCAACACTCCACGTGTTACATACAGTAGCAACACGTAGTGTTAGTACACAGTTCCAACACCTGTTACTGCACAGCACCAACACTCCAGTGTTACTACACAGTGCCAACACTCCATGTTACAACACAGTGCTAACACCCAGTGTTATTACAGAGTAACAACACCTATGTTACTACACAGTAACAACACTCCAGTGTCACTACATAGTACCAACACCCAGTGTTACTACACAGTACCAACACCCACGTGTTACTACACAGTACCAGCACCCAGTGTTACTACAGTACCAACACCCAGGTGTTACTACAGTGCCAACACCCAGTGTTACTACACAGTGCCAACACCCACGTGTTACTACACAGTGTCAACACCCAGTGTGACTACACAGTAGCAACACCTAGTACTAGTACACAGTACCAACACCCAGTGTTACTACACAATGCCAACATCCAGATCTTACTACACACTGGCAACACCCAGTGTTACTACACAGTACCAACACACAGTTTTACTACATAGTACCAATACCCACGTGTTACTACACAGTGCCAACACCCAGATGTTACTACACAGTGGCAACACCCAGGTGTTACTACAGTACCAACACCCAGGTGTTACTACAGTGCCAACACCCAGGTGTTACTACAGTACCAACACCCAGGTGTTACTACACAGTACCAACACCCAGGTGTTACTACAGTGCCAACACCCAGATGTTACTACACAGTGGCAACACCCAGGTGTTACTACAGTACCAACACCCAGGTGTTACTACAGTGCCAACACCCAGGTGTTACTACACAGTGGCAACACCCAGGTGTTACTACAGTACCAACACCCAGGTGTTACTACAGTACCAACACCCAGGTGTTACTACAGTGCCAACACCCAGTGTTACTACACAGTACCAACACCCAGTGTTACTACACAGTACCAACACCCGGTGTAACTATAAAATGCCAACACCCAGTGTTACTACACAGTGCCAACACCCAGGTGTTACTACAGTGCCAACACCCAGGTGTTACTACAGTGCCAACACCCAGTGTTATTACACTGTTAACACCCACGTGTTACTACACAGTACCAACACCCAGTGTTACTACACAGTACCAACACCCACGTGTTACTACAGTACCAACACCCAGGTGTTACTAACAGTGCCAACACCCAGTGTTACTATAAGTACCAACACCCAGTGTTACTACAGTACCAACACCCGGTGTAACTATAAAATGCCAACACTCCAGTGTTTCACACAGTGCCAACACCCAGTGTTACTAACAGTACCAACACCCGGTGTAATCTATAAAATGCCAACACCCAGTGTTACTACACAGTGCCAACACCCAGTGTTACTACACAGTACCAACACCCGGTAATTATAAAATGCCAACACCCAGTGTTACTACAAGTGCCAACACCCAGGTGTTACTACAGTACCAACACCCAGGTGTTACACAGTACCAACACCCAGGTTACTAAGTGCCAACACCCAGATGTTACTACACAGTGGCAACACCGAGTGTTACTACAGTACCAACACCCAGGTGTTACTACAGTGCCAACACCCAGGTGTTACTACACAGTGGCAACACCCAGGTGTTACTACAGTACCAACACCCAGGTGTTACTACAGTGCAACACCCAGGTGTTACAGTGCCAACACCCAGGTGTTACTACAGCAACACCGATGTTACTATTGCGGCAACACCAGGTGTTACTACAGTACCAACACCCGGTGTTTACTACAGTGCCAACACCCAGGTGTTACTACACACAGTGCCAACACCCAGGTGTTACTACAGTACCAACACCCAGGTGTTACTACAGTGCCAACACCCAGGTGTTACTACAGTGCCAACACCCAGTGTTTACAAAGTACCAACACCCAGTGTTACTACACAGTACCAACACCCGGTGTAACTATAAAATGCCAACACCAGTGTTACTACAAGTGCCAACACCCAGTGTTACTACACAGTACCAACACCCGGTGTAACTATAAAATGCCAACACCCAGTGTTACTACAGTACCAACACCCAGGTGTTACTAGTACCAACACCCAGGTGTTACTACACAGTACCAACACCAGGTGTTACTACAGTGCCAACACCCAGATGTTTACTACACAGTGGCAACACCCAGGTGTTACTACAGTACCAACACCCAGGTGTTACTACAGTGCCAACACCCAGGTGTTACGCATATAGTGGCAACACCCAGGTGTTACTACAGTACCAACACCCAGGTGTTACTACAGTACCAACACCCAGGTGTTACTACAGTGCCAACACCCACGTGTTACTACACAGTACCAACACCCAGTGTTACTACACAGTACCAACACCCGGTAATCTATAAATGCCAACACCCAGTGTTACTACACAGTGCCAACACCCAGGTGTTACTACAGTGCCAACACCCAGTGTTACTACACAGTACCAAAACCCACGTGTTACACATGTGCACCAACACCCAGTGTTACTGAACAGTGCCAACACCTGTTACTACACAGTGCCAACACCCAGTGTTATTACAGAGTAACAACACCCAGTGTTACTACACAGTACCAACACCCACGTGTTACTACAGTACCAACACCCAGTGTTACTACACAGTACCAACACCCAGTGTTACTACAATACTAACACCCACGTGTTACTACACAGTGCCAACACCCACGTGTTACTACAGTACCAACACCCAGTGTTACTACACAGTGCCAACACCCAGTGTTATTACAGAGTAACAACGCTCAGTGTTACTACAATACTAACACCCACGTGTTACTACACAGTGCCAACACCCAGTGTTACTACACAGTACCAACACCCAGTGTTACTACAATACTAACACCCACGTGTTACTACACAGTACCAACACCCACGTGTTACTACAGTACCAACACCCAGTGTTACTACACAGTGCCAACACCCAGTGTTACAGAGTAACAACACCAGTGTTACTACACAGTAACAACACGCAGTGTTACTACAGTAACTAACCACCCAGGTGTTACTACAGTACCAACACCCAGGTGTTACTACAGTGCCAACACCCATGTGTTACTACACAGTGCCAACACCCATGTTACACAGTAGCAACACCTAGAGTTAGTACACAGTACCAACACCCAGTGTTACTACACAATGCCAACACCCATGTTACACAGTGCCAACACCCACGTGTTACTACACAGTAGCAACACCTAGAGTTAGTACACAGTACCACACCCAGTGTTACTACACAATGCCAACACCCAGATGTTACTACACACTGGCAACACCCAGTGAGTACACACAGTACCAACACCCAGTTTTACTACATAGTACCAATACCACGACTTACTACAGTGGCAACACCCAGGTGTGACTACATAGCACAACACCCAGGTGTTACTATGCCAACACCCAGGTGTTACTACAGTACCAACACCCAGGTGTTACTACAGTACCAACACCCAGGTGTTACTACAGTGACAACACCCAGGTGTTACTGCAGTGCCAACACCCAGGTGTTACTACACAATACCAACACCCAATGTTACTACACAGTGCCAACACCCAGGTGTTACTACAGTACCAACACCCAGGTGTTACTACAGGTCAACATCCAGGTGTTACTGCAGTGACACCACCCAAGTGTTACTACAGTGCCAACACTCAGGTGCAACTAACCACAGTGCTACACACACCAGGTGTAACTAACCACAGCAACACCCAGGTACAACTAACCACAGTGCCAACACCCAGGTACACAACTAACCACAGTGCCAACACCCAGGGTGCAACTAAGCACAGTGTCAACACTCAGGTGTAACTTAACCATTGAAAGCCAACACCCAGGTGCAACCCAACTCATGAAAGCCATCACTCAGGTGTAAATTCAACCACAGTGCCAACACCCAGGTGCAATCTAACCATTGAAAAGCATCACTCTCAGGTGTAATTCAACCACAGTGCCAACACCAGGTGTAATTCAACCACAGTGCCAACACCCAGGTGCAACTAACCACAGTGCTATCACTGTGGGTGTAACTAACCACAGTGCCAACACCCAGGTGCAAATTCAACCACAGTGCTATCACTCAGGTGTAACTAACCACAGTGCCAACACTCCAGGTACAACTAACCACAGTGCTATTACTCACTCAGGTGTAACTAACCACAGTGCCAACAGCCAGGTGTTACTAACCACAGTGCCAACAGCCAGGTGTTACTAACCATAGTGCCAACACCCAGGTGTAACTAACCACAGTGCCAACAGCCAGGTGTTACTAACCACAGTGCCAACAGCCAGGTGTTACTAACCACAGTGCCAACAGCCAGGTGTTACTAACCACAGTGCCAACAGCCAGGTGTTACTAACCACAGTGCCAACAGCCAGGTGTAACTAACCACAGTGCCAACAGCCAGGTGTTACTAACCACAGTGCCAACAGCCAGGTGTTACTAACCACAGTGCCAACAGCCAGGTACACACAACTTACACCCTATGTCACGTGAGTACTGGTTCTTCCTCAAAATAGTTCCAGAAATATAACTCATTACCATCACATGTAACTGGTGTTCTCTCTGGTGAATAAAAAAAAAATAACCCAGGGTCAGCTAAACACTGGAGATGGTGCAACAAGGAGAGCTTGGTGAGACACTCAGTACTGTACACTCTTACAAAATAGCATAACAGTGTGGCCACGTTTCTAGGAAGTACTGAAGAGTAAGATGTATATACAGTATGTGCATGAGTGTAGTCCCCACTTTGAAGCACGTTCACAACTGACAGGATATATAAACATGGTCCAATCATTTGCAAATATGCAAAGAAATATTAAACAAAAAAATCTTACCGTAAAAGAGCGTGGACGAAAGAAAAAATCGAGAAATGGGGGAGGAAAGGGATAGAAATCAACAATAAAGCCAGTATCCGCTCCAACACGCGCAACACATCCACCTACGACCACTGCCTCAGTCATACTGCCTAGCTCAGTCAGCCCTAAGCCAGACAGCGGCGGCCGCAACCCTCACGGCTCCACCGCCACTAGGAATCATAAACAAAAAGCACAATTTGGCAACTCACCGGCATTCCCCCTCTACATACCACGTAAAGCATCATTCTTTCTTTCTTTCTCTGTCTCACCCCTCCAGGGCTCCGCCAAGAAAAGCCTTAACTTAAGTGTTCAGAACCCAAGCAGCCCGTGTACCAGCACAAATCAAAAGCCATGAAAATATCGAACAAAAAACATTCAGCTACATCCATGAGGTATACTGATCGGCAGAGGGCTACCATCAGGACAGATACTGTATATTATCTTAACTAAAATGTTCAAAATCTATCAACCATGTTGTTAATTGATTTATCATTCTAAACCCAATTAAGGACCTCAATGGATAGAAACTTTTATCAGTTTTCGTTTTATTTTACCTGTATGTTAAATGAACTTAGTTTAATATACCTGCACTGCCCATATAACACCAATGTGAACTTGAATGGCGAGTTTCCTAAATAAATATCCATCACCGTAATGTGCAGGACGGAGAAGCAGGAGTGTCTCTCTTCTTTGGGGTAAAATGCCTCATTTTAGTGTTTCAGACCTTCTTTAGGGTGAAATTTAAGGTAAGATTTTTCTTTTCTTTTTCAAAATCTAGGGTAATCACGGATTTCCTAAGGCATTTTACTCATTTCCACGGTAATCATTGTATTACTTAGCAATAGTAAGTAAATGAATATTAGAATAACTTGACGCTGGAATGACTAACCGTTTCTCAATTTCTTATGACAATTCCGCTTCTATACAACCTAAGTAAGTCTCCCATTAATACGAAAAAGTAAACGTTTTCTTTTATTACGTTACAATGCAGTGTTCTCACTTTTAAAGAAATGTACTATACTGAATAATGCCTTGATCCAGGAAATGCTGCAAAGCTTCAGCCACGGTCATCAAAACTCTTATATTTTACCCCACCTGTCAAAATATACAGACAAGCTAACTGATGTGTAGTTGAGACGTCATTATTTGATCGTTGAATTGGTAAATCAGCTCAAATGCACAGAATACTGGAACACTGTCTTACCTAACAAAAGGAATGCTGCTATCCTTCCTTGTTATCCAAACCTTAGAGTAGTAAAATCAATTACAGCATTTCCCTTCTCATGCACCAGTAGAAAGATTTTTCAGTAAACTAAACCTTACAAAGAATGAAACACTATGTGGCTCAATGCACATTGTGTATTGCATTAAGAACAACAATGTCACATTAGACACTTTAATATTGATGAGCGGGCCATTGCAGCACTTTGCAATATTAATAGTAATGCAATGCAACTTGTAGTGAAGCTGAAAATTAGTAAAATAATGGTAAATAAATGCTGAGTTGGTCTTACGGAGGTGCTGGAGGTGGTAGTGTTACTGAGTACTGTACTGAAGGTGCTGAAGATGGTGGTGTTGCTGAGGACTGTACTGAAGGTGCTGAAGATGGTGGTGTTACTGAGGACTGTACTGAAGGTGCTGAAGATGGTGGTGTTACTGAGGACTGTACTGAAGGTGCTGGAGGTGGTGGTGTTACTGAGTACTGTACTGAAGGTGCTGAAGATGGTGGTGTTGCTGAGGACTGTACTGAAGGTGCTGAAGATGGTGGTGTTACTGAGGACTGTACTGAAGGTGCTGAAGATGGTGGTGTTACTATGACTGTACTGAAGGGGTGCTGGAAGATGGTGGTGTTACTGAGGACTGTACTGAAGGTGCTGGAAGATGGTGGTGTTACTGAGGACTGTACTGTAGGTGTTGGAGGTGGTGGTGTTACTGAGGACTGTACTGAAGGTGCTGGAGGTGGTGGTGTTACTGAGGACTGTACTGAAGGTGCTGGAGGTGGTGGTGTTACTGAGGACTGTACTGAAGGTGCTGAAGATGGTGGTGTTACTGAGGACTGTACTGAAGGTGCTGAAGATGGTGGTGTTACTGAGGACTGTACTGAAGGTGCTGAAGATGGTGGTGTTACTGAGGACTGTACCACAAAAGCTGGGAGGTGGTGGCAAGCATGAGGACCGTACTGAAGCAAAGGGAGGTGGTAAAGCATGAGGACTGTACTGAAGCAAAGCAAAGGATGGTAAAAATGAGACTGCACAAAAGGAAAGGAAGACAAAACATTGAGACTGTACTGAAGGAAGTGAAGATGGTAAGCAGCATGAGGACTGTATCAAGGTGCGTGAGTGTAAGCATTGAGGACTGCATGGAAGGTGCTGGAAGATGGTGGGTGGGCATTGAGACCGTACCAGAAAGCTGGAGGTGGTGTTACTGAGGACCGTGCCTGAAGGTGCTGAAGATGGTGGTGGTTACTGAGGACTGTACTGAAGGTGCTGGGAAGATGTGGTGGTGGCATTGAGGACTGTACTGAAGGGTGCTGGAAGATGGTGGTGTTACTGAGGACTGTACTGAAGGAAAAAAGTGGGAGGTGGTGGTGTTACTGAGGACTGTACTGAAGGTGCTGGAAGATGGTGGTGACACTGGAGGACTGTACCAAGGTGCTGGAGGTGTGGTGGTGTTACTGAGGATCAAAATGAAGCAAAGAGACAGAAGTATTGAGACTGTACCACAAGGTGCTGGAGAGGTGGTGGGCATTGAGGACTGTATCAAGGTGCTGAAGATGGTGGTGTTATTGGAGACTGTACTGAAGGAAAGGAGATGGTGTTTATGTGACTGTACTGAAGGTGCTGGAGGTGGTGGAAGCATTGGGCGATTGCATTGAAGGTGCTGCAGATGGTGGAAAAGCATGAGGACTGTACCTGAAGGTGCTGGAGATGGTGCTGAGGACCTGTACTGTAGGTGCTGCAGATGGTGGTGTTACTGAGGACTGTACTGAAGGAAGCGTGATGGTTGTGTTACTGTGACCTCGTACTGCAGGTGCTGCAGATGGTAAAAAGTACTGAGGACCGTACCAAGGTAAAAGGAAGATGGTGGTGTTACTGAGGACTGTAATGAAAAAAGGAGGTGGTGGTGTTACTGTGGACTGTCAGGCCTGCAGGGTGCTGCAGATGGTGGTGTTACTGAGGAGACTGTACTGAAGGTGGAGATGGTGGAAGTGGCTGAGTGAACAACAGCTGGAGGTGGTGGGCACGGAGGACTGTACTGAAGGTGCTTGAGGTGGTGGTGCTACTGAGGACCGTACTTCAAGGTGCTGGAGGTGGTGGTGTTACTGAGGACTGTACTGGGAAGGGGTGCTTGAGGTGGGTGGTACATGAGGACAGGCTGAAGGTGCTGGAGGTGGTGGTAGCTACTGAGGACTGTACTGAAGGTGCTTGAGGTGGTGGAAGCATTGAGATCACTGTACTGAAGGTGCTGGAGACGGTGGTGTTACTGAGGACTGCACTGAAGGTGCTGGAGGTGGTGGTGTTACTGAGGACTGTACTGAAGGTGCTGAGATGGTGGAAAAGGCTGAGACTGTACTGAAGGTGCTGGAGTGTGTGTGTAGCATTGAGGACTGTACTAAGGTGCTGGAGTAAAAGGCTTATGACTGTACTGAAGGTGCTTGAGGTGGTGGGTGTTATTGAGGACTGTACTGAAGGAAGTGGAGAGGTGGTAAAGTTGGCTTGAGGACTGTACTGAAGGCAAGCGAGGTGGTGGGTGTTACTGGAGGACTGTGGCTCAAGCAAAAAAAGGAGATGGTAGGCATTGAGGACTGTACTGAAAGTGATGGGTGGTGTTACTGGAGGACTGTACTGAAGGTGCTGGGAGATGGTGGTGTTACTGAGGACTGTACTGAAGCAAAAGGGAGGTGGTGGTGTTACTTGAGACTGTACTGAAGGTGCTGGAGGTAAAGGCTGAGGACTGTACTGGAAGCAAAGGAGATGGTTGTTTTACTGAGGAATGCACTGAAGGTGCTGGAGGTGGTGTGTTACTGAGGACTGGTACTGAAGGTGCTGAAGATGGTGGCAAGCATTGAGGAATCACTGAAGGTGCTGGGAGGTGGTGGTGTTACTGGAGGACTGTACCATGCAGGAGGTGGTGGTTGTTAATGAGACCGTACCCAAGGTGCTGGAAACTGCAGTTACTGGAGGACTGTACTATGGTTGCTGGAGATGCAGGTGTTGCTGAGGACCTGAAGTGAAGATGGTGGTGTTACTGAGGACTGTACTGAAGCAAAGGAGGTGGTGGATACATTGGAGGACTGTACTGAAGGTGCTGGAGGTGGTGGTGTTACTGAGGACCTGTACTGGAAGGTGCTGGAGATGGTGGTGTTACTGGAGGATTGCACTGAAGGTGCTGGAGGTGGGTGGGTGTTACTGAGGACTGTACTGTAGGTGCTGCAGATGGTGACAGCATGAGGACTGTACTAAAGTTGCTGGAGGTGGTGGAAGTAGTGAGGACTGCAACTGTAGGTGTTGGAGGTGGTGGTGCTACTGAGGACTGTGGCTGTAGGTGCTGGAGGTGGTGGTGTTGGCCTGAGAACTGCACTGTAGGTGCTGGAGGGTGGTGGTGCTACTGAGGACCCTGTACCAAGGTGCTGGAGATGGTGGTGTTACTGAGGACTGTACTGAAGGAAAAGGGAGGTGGTGGGTGTTACTGAGGACTGTACTGAAGGTGCTGGAGATGGTGGTGTTACTGAGACTGCACAGAATAAAAGTGAGGTGGTGTTATTGAGGACTGTACTGAAGGTGCTGGAGGTGGTGGTGTTACTGAGGACTGTAATGAAGGCAAAGGAGATGGTGGTGTTACTGAGACTGGTACTGAAGGTGCTGGAGGTGGTGGGTGTTAGCTGAGGACTGTGGCCTGAAGGTGCTGGGATGGTGGCATTGAGGACTGTACTGAAGGAAGTGAGGTGGTGATGTTACTGAGGACTGCACGGTGCTGCTGCTGGAGGTGGTGGTGCCAAGGAGGACTGGGTACTGTAGTGCTGGCGTGGTGGTAGCATTGAGGACTGTACTGAAGGTGCTGGAGATGGTGGTGTTACTGAGGACTGTACTGAAGGTGCTGGAGGTGGTGGTGTTACTTT